TATGCCAAAATAATCTCCCTAAGACTACTCCCATATCTACCTACATTAGTCCACCCAGATCAAGTGGGATTTATACCCGGGAGACAGGCCCCAGATGCTACAAGACGAATTATATCCATACTGCATCACCTCGAGAACAAAACACAACCCTCCCTTCTCCTGTCATTAGATGCGGAAAAAGCATTCGACCGAATCCATTGGCAATTTATGAACCTTACATTACAAAAATTTGGAATAAATGACTGGATGCTTTCAGCGATACTATCCCTCTACTCCAAGCCCACCGCCAGAGTACTGACCAATGGCACACTTTCACAACCTTTCTGTATAACGAATGGTACCAGACAAGGATGCCCCCTATCCCCCATAATTTTTGCCTTACTTATCGAACCATTAGCAACTAATCTTAGAAATGAATCTAACTTTACGGGAATTAACATGTATCAACATGAGCACAAACTTAGTCTCTTCGCAGACTATATTATTTTTTATGATTACAAACCCCTATAAATCAATTCATTCGATACGTACACATATCCGTAGTTATGCAGATGTTTCGTATTACAAACTCAATGAACCCAAATCATCTATACTCAACCTACATACACCTATTGATACTAAAAATCTAATTTCCAAACATTTCCCCTTTACCTGGGAATCACATAGCATACCCTATCTAGGATAAAACTTACCGCAACCACTAGCCAACTTTACGAAACTAATTACAAACCATTATTGGAAACCATCCCCCAAGAAATAAAAATTCTACGCACAACCACACTATCAACTTTAGGTAGAGTAGCAACTTTAAAAATGTGTATATTACCTAAAATACTATATATTTTTCGGACGCCCTCTATACCAGTTCCTCATACCTTCTTCTCTAAAATTCAAGCTACGCTAAATAAATTTTTATGGAACTCTAAAAGACCCAGATGTTCCACAAACTTATTATTACGCCCACCCTCCAGAGGTGGGACAGGTCTCCCCCACCTAAAATCATATTACCAAGCAGTCCTCTTAGACCAACTCTTCTTTTGTGTGGCACCCAACCGACGAGAAGAAGATCTGGACCAAACTAGAAAACCCATTATGCTCACACACACGATAACAGACATACTATACATACCCAGGACAGCCCTACCTAAAAATCTACATATACACCCATGCATCCAGGCTTCTTTAAATGCTTGGTTTGACTTTTCAGCCCTCAATCAAGCAAACAAGAGCAATGTGAAAATTCCCACCCCCTTTTCATCCTACACTCCCTCACCCCCCACTTAAACATATCAATATGGAGCAGCCTTGGTATATAACCCACATCCAAGATCTCTACACACAAACACACAAACTAGACTCACTCATTCTCCGTCCTCCAAAAGAAATTTTGTCTTCCAAACAAAGAACAATATACTTATTTACGAATAGCCCACTCTCTTCACAAAACACAAATACCACTTGAGATAGAAATTCCTGCAACTGCACAACACTTCTTCCAAAAGACACAATACCCCAAGAAAGGAATTTCGACTTTCTATTCACTCATAACTGAAATACAGTTCACTACATACAACTCTTCCTTACTCAATTGGGAAAAGAATCTCTCCCAACCAATCACTCTAAACACTTGGGAAAAAACATTCACTATCACATGTAAAGCTTCTAAATGTAGCTCCCATTGGGAGACTTATCTGAAAATCCTACACTAATGGTATCTGACACCAACTAAATTATCCCAATTTTACCCTCAACATTCACAACTCTGCTGGAGACATTGTGGAGAAAAGGGATCTCTCCTTCACATACTTTGGGACTGTAAATCTCTTAAATCTTATTGGAACAAGGTTTTCCAGATCATCTCATCACTCACAGGAACTCCAATTACTCCAAATCCCGCCCTAGCTCTTCTCCACATCGGAATAGACATATTCCCTGTAAAGGTACGCACTATTATCATCCAGATTCTAGCAGCTGCAAAAATTAACATCACCAAACTATGGAGATCCACTACAACCCCTTTATTATCCCGCCTCATTTCCGATCTCAATCTCCAATGCGAGATGGAAAGAAGAACCGCACTCTATAATTCCTCCTACCATAAATTTAAAACCCATTGGTCACGATGGTTAAATAATCCCAGTTGCTCAATTAAATGATTACTATTCGAAAAGAATACATTATTCTCTGCCCATACTGAATTGGTGCTTACCCTCCCTTCCCCCCACTTCCTTCCCTGTTCTTCCACTACCCTCATGTTCTCCCCACTTTTATGCCCCGCTAGTCTCCTAGAATGGTTCACAACATACAGAGCATACCTCTCATGTAACTAAACTACAGAAATACAAGTTCCCCGGCCACTTGATGGGGATTCTTCACTTTTCTTTTGTCATTATTTATCATATAATGTTATTCTCGATGTGAACCAAAATGTTCGACTATCTAATATTACTTATGTATGTTTAAATTTCAATAAAAATATTTGAACATAAAATAAGAAAATGTATCATTTTAAGAAAAAAATAAGGTAATCTTGAAATTGATGGACGCAACATGAAATATTCAGGGCCTTCCCTGAGAAACACATTGTCTGGAAAAGTGCACATGCTGTTCTAAAACCTGGATATATCGTTCAACACTGATTGTGCCTGTCTAGATGTGAAAGCTGCCCATTCCATACACACTAATGCACCCCCATACCATCAGAAGCAGGCTTTTGAACGGAGCTCCATTAACCTGGAAGGTGCCTCTCCTCTTTAGTCCAGGGGATGCAATGTCCATGGTTGCCAAAAAGAATGTAAAATTTTAATTTGTCTGCCCAAAGAACAGTTTTCCACTTTGCAATAGACCATTTTAAATTACGTTTGGCCCAGAAAAGATGGCGGCGTTTCTGGATCATGGTCAGATGGCTTCTTCTTTGTATATCAGAGCTTTATCTAGCATTTTTGGATGGCACAGAAAACTGTGTCCACAGGCATTGATTGTTGGAAGTATTCCTGTGCCCACGCAGTGACTTCTATCATAGAATCATGCCTGTTTTTAATGAAGTGACATCTGAGGGCCTGAAGATCATGGGCATCGGATATTGCATTTCGTAGTTGTCCCTTGCAAACACAGATTTCTCCAGATATTCAGAATCTTTTGATATCATTTACTGCAAATTATATATTTACGGTCTTTGCAATTTTACATTGAGGAACAGTATTCTGAAATTGTTAGACAATTTTTAGATGCAGCTTTTCACAAATTGGTGAACCTTTGCCCATGTATATTTAGGAGATACTCTGGGTTTAAAAAAACAGCATCCTAGAGAGTCAAACATGTTATTGACCTGTTGCCAATTAAAGTGAAATTACCACCTCCCATCCAATCCTTTTCTTGCACTTTTTGTTCACATGTAACAATTAGTATTTTGTGCTAGAAAATTACTTAGAGAATCCAAACATTATATATTTTTTAAAAAAGTAGAGGCCCTAGCAAATAAACTGGTGGGTTTTGCAATTTTTTATGTCACACTGTATTTGTGCAGCGGTTTTTCAAACGTAATTTTTTTGGGAAAAAAAATTCGCTTTTTTTTTTTTAACGTTAATGCAAAAAAACACAATACATAACCCAATTTATTTGTAAAATATTAAAAGATGGATGTTACTTTGAGTAAATAGATACCAAACATGTCACACTTTAAAACTGCACAAGCCTGTGCAACAGCGACAAACACAGTAAATTTTACTATTCATAGGTGACGCTTTAAAAGCCTTAACAGGTTACTACTTTAGATTTACAGAGGTCGTCTGATGCTAGAATTATTGCCCATGATCTGATGTTTGTGGTGATACCTCACGAGTGTGGACGATCGCTGTATCATTTGCATGTGCATTCAACGTTAACTTAAAAATATATATTTTTTTTTTCATTTGTACACTGTTGCTTTAATCTTTTTTTTGCATCACTTCTATTGCTGTCACAAGATCATCCCTTGGGACAGCAACAGGCACGTGACAGGTACTCTGTAAGACGCAAAATCCCTCCACTGCACTTAAAAGCATTCAAAACACCAAGATCTGTGTTTTTGAATAGTTTTATTTTTTTAAAAATGGCACCGTTTACTTCTGAGTCCCGCTGCTTGTAATAGCAAATGAGTGGCTAGTTAGCCGCTCTGATTGCTATTACAAGAGAGCCGACCGCTGGCTCTAAAAAGGATATCGGGGTGGTGCCTGAAGCTGAAGGCATCATCCCGATCTAAGCACCAAAAAGTCTAGCAACGTACAGGTATGTCGCAGGATGGGAAGTAGTTAGAACATGTTTGTTTTCTTTTTCTTTTTACTTACTTATCTGCTCTGTGCAGTGGTTTTGCACAGAGCAGCCCCAATCCTCCTCTCCTCAGGTACCCTGCGCCGCTTCTGGCCCCTCCCTCCTGCCGAGTGCCCCCAGAACAAGCAAGCTGCTGCTCTGCGCTTCCATTCACACAGGCTCAGCCCTGCTCCCTCTCTCTCCTCATGAGGAGGAAAAGTCCCTGGAGAGCCAAGGCTCTCATTCACATCGCTGGATGTCGATAGGGCTCAGGTAAGTATTAGGGAGACTGTGAAGGCCTTTACAACCACCTTAACCTAATTGGTTGCAAAATGTTCTTCCAGCTCTTCCTTGTTCGTGCCACTTAATTTGCCATCTTTTTTTGTTGCTCTGTCCCATCTTGAGATGTATAGCTGCCATCCATTTCAAAATTACCTTATTTTTTTCTTATAAAATTGTACATTTTCTCAGTTTAAGCATTTGATAGGGTTTCTATTGTGAATAAAATATGGGTTTATGAGATTTGCAAATCATTGCATTCCGTTTTTATGTACATTTTGTACAGATTACCAAATTTTTTGGAATTGGGTTTGTGTTTAACTAGACAAGTTCTTGTGATCTGCACTCAGAGCAGTGGACTTCTCGAGAGGCTGTTTAGGAGCTTACAGTTGCGCAGTTTTTCTTTGGCATTTCAAAGTCTAAGCAATACTCACAGAATTTATCCTGGCTCTGTTTGGTATGTCCCTCAGAACCACTGCTCTCTGTATCCACTGGAGAACTACAACGAGGACCAGATTCAGAGCTATAAAGAAAGAATAAAAGAGTGTTCTTCAAACAAATCATTAATCAGTTGAAAGAAATAATGTATCTAGTAATGTTGCATGGTAAAAGGTCAATGAAAGAGACAATTACACATACAGTTGACAAGACACCCAATAGGAGGCTGTGAATGATCAGGAGTGTAAACAACAGAGATGTCTTCCCATATCATTAGCTGTAAGGGACCATAATAACAGCTTTAAAATGGTTCATTCCACAATCTCTGTGTCTAAAAGACTGTACAGATAAAAAAAAAAAAGCACAGAACATATACTCCTCTTCACCAACTCAAATATTACATGGTATGATCAGGCCAAGCTAGCCACTGAAATATGTGGCTTCTCATAGATTATATTTTATTTGACGTCATTCATCCAGTGCTTACAAGTCCTTACACAACACCTTGGAGTGTTACATACTTCCTCATGCTACAGATGCAACCAGCACAATGTACATTACTCCTTTTTTTTTTTTTTTTTTTTTTTTTTAATGACAGGTTACACTATTATTAAGTGTCAAAAATTTAAACAGCGCTTTACATGTTGTGCATTCACATCATGTACATAAAGCCACATGTAAATACCCAGGATGCCATCTGTCAGGCACGAACGCCCAAACTTCCATTGTGCATCGCAAATTAAAGTAGATCCATGGGTAGAAGAATCACAACCCTTTAAAAAAAAAACACATTTTGTTGCTTTGCAGCCTGATATGAAGACAGGCACAGTTTTTGTTTTATCCAGCTGTATTTACTCAGTACAACTTATAACATCCAAGTGAAAGATATAATGCCAAAAAGGTCAGAAAAAAAAAAAAATCACCTTCTCAATGGCACACAAAGCCAACTGACTTTCAACTGTGATCAGTTGTGGTCATTTTGATTAGCTCCACATGAAAAGAGCTTTCCTGGAGCATTTCAATTCCTGGTAGTGCAACTTAAACAAACAACTATGGGTGGCAAGGCACTGTCAAAAGATCTCCAGGATAAAATTGTGGACAGGCACAAGTCAGTAGATGGATACAAAAAAATTCAAAAGCTTTATCAATGCCTAGAAGCACAGTGAAGACTATTGTTAGGAAGTAGAAGGTATTTGGTACAACATAGGACTCATCATGGATCAGGACGTAGATCCAAACTGGATGAAAGACCAGGAGGAAACTGGTCAGAGAATCTACTCTGAAGCAGTTGCAGGAATTGATGACAAAGAGTGGTCATTGTGTGCACGTGACAACAGTATCACAAATTCTCCACAAATGTGGCTTGTATGGGAGGGTAGCAAGACAGAAAGCCATTCCTCAAGAAAGGCCACATGCACATTCATGACTGAGCTTTGCCAAAACGCACGTTGAACATTCTGAGGCCACATGGAAAAAGGTGGTATGATCAGACGAGACTAAAGTTGAATTATTTGGCCTCAATACTAAATGATATGTCTGGCGGAAATCCAATACAGCTTACTATCCAAATAACACCATTCCTACATTAAAGCATGGAGGTGGTAATAACCTGTTATGGGGGGGTGGGGGGGGGGGGTTGGTTCGGGCTTCTCTGCAGCAGGGACTGGAGCACTTGTCAGGACTGAAGGATAATTGGATGAAGCAATGAAGCAAAAAAACCATCAAATTTTTATGTAAGAAAAAGTAAATACAGCCCGATGAAACAAAAACTGTGTCTTCATTTCAGGCTGCAAAGCAACAAAATGTGATTATTTTAAAGGGGGTGATTCTTTTTTATACCCACTGTATATGACCTGCTACCCTTTTTTTTTTTTTTTTTTTTTTTTTTTTTTTAAAATTTTTTTTTTTTAATAAACGAAACAAAATACAGTAGGTCTCTGTAAGGTACTCAAAGTAATGAGTATTTATGATGATTTCCTGTCCAACCATTCCAGTGTATTTCCCGGCTAGCTTTTATTTTGAGTGAAAAGAAAGAAACAGGCTAAAATGCCCATAGTATAAACTGTGCATGTTATTCCATGTGTAGGTGCCTCTACACAGGAAAGTACTTCTGAATGTTATAGGGGATCTAACGGATTTTTTTTTTTTCATTCAACTGCATAAAATTCTGCACAGGCTTTCATTACTGTTAGTTGCTACTATTACAGTCACATGAATAACTGTTCTCAGATTCTTTAATTATATGACCACTATTTATTTATTTATTTATTTCAGGTACTTATATAGCGGCTTCAATTTACACAGCGCTTTACACATATATATTGTACATTCACATCAGTCCCTAAACCTCAAGGGGCATACAATCTAAGGTACCACTACTTCATACTGACGCATTTCGAGGCAGAACCTCTTCCTCAGAGGCAAGTCGGAGCCCCCTCCCACATTAACAGCTCATTTAAGAGAGGACACATGCTGTGTAGACTTGGCTCTGAGGAAGAGGTTCTGCCTCAAAACGCGTCAGACATTTGGAGGCCTACAGTCCCCCAACAGCCACCATCTAGGGAGATTGGACCATGCTGTCTTTTTTTTGTGATGTGCCTTTGATTTTATTCTTTTGAGAGTATAATACTTTTATTCAATAAATCTAATTTTTAGAAGCTAATGCACTAGGCCTGTGCGCCCTCTGTTTGTTTCTTTGCACGCAGCTCCTTTGGATTTCCCTGGTCTGTTGAGGGCAGCAAGGCTTGCATCCAAAAAAGTACTCCATGTGGGGTTACTGACATTGTGCATCTCAACTTCCAGCACAGGAGTTTCAGCATTCATTTGCTCAAGCTTTTTTTTTAAATCAGACTTAGGTAGGTGCCTTGGCACATGAGCAAAATCCTCGCCATATAGGCTCTTCAACACCCCTAAAAAATCATGAACAGTGGTTGGACTGGGGGCCAGATGCACAGTGTAAAGCGGTCTATAGATGGGTGGAAATTCAACAACAATTGTTCATGAGAAAGTTTGTTAGTCTTTTTAATCATTAGCAGGTCAAATCAACATTCGATTTTGATCACAGTGACAAGAAAATTGGAAACAGTATGATGGAAAATGGATAGACCTTAAAAGAGCAGTGCGTGACAGACAGCCCAGAAATCTCAAAGAACTGGAAGACTTTTGTAAGGAAGAATGGGCAAAGATACCTCAAACAAGAATTGAAAGACTCTTGGCTGGCTACAAAAAGCGTTTACAAGCTGTGATACTTGCCAAAGGGGGCAGTGCATGCTATAAATTCTGCAGGGTGGCCAAACTTTTGCAGACGCCATTTTTTGTTTTCTGTTATTTTGAAAGTGTAAATGATGGAAATAAAATCTAACTCTTGTTGACATATTATAAGAATGTCTAATCTGTAATTTGATGCCTTTTGGAGATTTTTCCATCTTTCCTTGGCTTCTTTATGCACATTAATACAAATTTTTAGCTGGGGTGCCCAAACTTTCGATCCCCACTGTATATATATATATTTATTTATTTATATGCCTTACAAATGCATGCAAAAACAAAAACCGAAACCAACAAAGTCTAATAACCATATTTCAATACATTATAACACATATATATATACAGTCATGGCCGAAATTGTTGGCACCCTTGATATTTCTCCAGGAAATCATGTATTTCTCACGAAACGTATTGCATTAACACATGTTTTGCTATACACATGTTTATTCCCTTTGTGTGTATTGGGACAAAACAAAAAAAGGGAGGAAAGAAAGCAAATTCGACATAATGTCACACAAACCTCCAAAAATGGGCTGGACAAAAGTATTGGCACCCTTTCACAACTGCGGATAAATAAGAATGTTACAAGCATGTGATGCTCCTGTAAACTCACCTGGGGCAAGTAACAGGTGTGGGCAATATAGAAATCACACCTGAAAGCAGATAAAAAGGAGAGACGTTCACTTAACCTTTGCATTGTGTGTCTGTCTGTGCCACACTAAGCATGGACAACAGAAAGAGGAGACGAGAACTGTCTGAGGACCTGAGAACCAAAATTGTGGCAAAATATCAACAATCTCAAGGTTACAAGTCCATCTCCAGAGAACTAGATTTGCCTTTGTCCACAGTGCGCAACATTATCAAGAAGTTTGCAACCCATGGCACTGTAGCTAATCTCCCTGGTCGTGGACGGATGAGGAAAATTGATGAAAGATTGCAACGCAGAATAGTCCGGATGGTGGATAAGCAGCCCCAAACATGTTCCAAAGACATTCAAGCTGTCCTGCAGGCTCAGGGAGCATCAGTGTCAGCGCGAACTATCCGTCGACATTTAAATGAAATGAAACGCTATGGCAGGAGACCCAGGAGGTTCCCCAAAACTGCTGACACAGAGGCATAAAAAAGCAATCTACAGTTTGCCAAAATGTACTTTTTTTGTAAGCCAAAAGCCTTCTGGGAAAACGTCTTGTGGACAGATGAGACCAAGATAGAGCTTGCGCCCTCGTTAAAGCACGCAGCTCATTCTACTGTTTTGAGGGCGAAAACGGAATGAGGCCTCCAAAGAACAAAACACAGTACCTACGGTGCAAAATATGGGAGTTTCAATGATGTTTTGCTCAAGGGTTTTTTTGCTGCCTCTGGCACTGGGGTGCCTTGACACATGTGCAAGGCATCATGAAATCTGAGGATTAACCCCCCTAAAAAATCATTTGGTTCGCACTGGGGGCCCAGTGCACAGTGTAAAGCGGGTTTATAGATGGGTGGAAATTCAACAAAAATTGGTCTTCCATGAGAAAGTTTGACCCTTTTTAATCATTACAGTCAAAAACATTCGATCAGTGACAAGGATTGGAAACAGTATGATGGAAAGTTCTGAAAAGAGCAGTGCAATGACAGACAGCCCAGATCTAAATCCCATTGAACACTGGAAGACTTTAAAAAGGCTGAACGGAAAAGATACCTTCAAACAAGAGAAAGACCTCTTGGCTGGCTTTGCAAAGGTTTACAAGCTGTCCAAACTTGCCAAAGGGGAGGTGTCATGCTATAAATTCTGAGGGTGGCCAAGGCAGACGCCATTTTTTGTTTTCTGTTTTTTGAAAGGGTAAATGTGCAAATAA